AGGTAATTTCTGCCATTTTTTATTGCAATTTTCGATAGAGGATATTTTTTTAAAATTCAGTATTAAATGTTAAAATTTCTTGATCGTTCAAAAAATTACAAAACTTACTTTACAGAGACTTTGACGTTTTCTTTTAAGCATTACAAACATTGTGGCAAACTTAATATATGCTATTCAGGGTATAAAACTTTAGTGAAAATATAAGGGAATAGTTTTATAAAACTATAATAATTGAATGTATTTATCGAGAATAGTGAAACGAAGAATGTTGATCTTGAGTGAGCTCAAGAACCTAAATGTGTTTTACATTCCTTGTGTAAGGTAAATAAAATTTAATTTCGGAAAATTCTCAATTTTTAAAGTCATATAAAATTATTTTCTTCATTCACATTTGAAAGAATTTTGGAAATTTTTTTATACCTATTGTAAATATATTTTGGAAATAATTTTTATAACAGAAATGTATATTTATATTAAATTTAAAATAAAAATAAACAATTATTTTTTTTTAATAATTTATTTAATTTTTTAAATTGTTTTTAAGAAAAAAATCATATAACTTTCATACTTCATATTCAGAAAAGGGTTAGAAAGTTTCATCAAACATCTGCTTAATTTATGTGAAAGTGTGAATAACTTCTGCTACAGAATGCCATAAATCTATGTGTATATCTATGTAATTTAAATTTAGAAATACATTTCAAGCAATTTTTACTTGAAAAGACATTTAAGACATACATTGAGATATACATTTAAAAAGTTCATTGCTAGAACAAAAAAAAAAATAAGAAAAAAAATTTTGTTTAAAACATTTAGACAAAATTACATACAAATAAAATATATTTTTCAAGTTAATCAAAAGAAAATATTTTTTTCGCAAGCTATTTTAATAAATTTTAAATATTTTTAGATCAGAAAATAATATATACTTAAAAGTTTTGTTTTTTGTTATTTATGGAGTTTAGTTTTTTTTTTTAATTTAGGCTTAACTTTATAAAATTATATTTCAAACTTATTTTTTTTTTACTTACTTCTCTACGCTCAATTAACTAATTTATGAAGAAAAGATTGTTATCTAGCAGATTTTACAAAAATTTTATCAAAAATTTGCATTTCTGACTTAAAATTTGATTATTTTTTGTATAAAATCCTTTTAGTAAAAATATCTCTTAATCATGTACATACAAATGTTGTTCATTAAGTAACAACTCTTTTAACTTCTGTGCACTTTTTTCACAAAAAATTAAACAAATTGAAATCTGTGTTTTATTACTGTCGAGTAAAAATAAATGTTTGCAGGCGCACTACATGCAGTGCGAACACAATTAAAATGTCATTCAACCAACTAATCGAGCTCAAAAGCATCAGATACCATTGTAATTACACACATCCAACAATTGTTGATGCCATAAATCAACGCGCATTTAAAAATCGTCCAAGCGCAGTCGCAACGAACGCGCATTAAAAACGATAATTAAACGAGCGAAATACAATTTAAGCGACTCAGCGCATAAAAGTAGAATTTAATGTGTAAAAATGAAAATAAATAGCGCTAAGCGGTGTAAAAACGCGAGCAAAATTTAACCTAAGCCAATATCATTCACTTGCTAGACACATAACTCATTTCTAGCAACTTTGCAACACATTTTTTGTACAAATTAAAATCTAAGCATAAAGCTGCTTAGAAATGTACATTATTTAGTTTAAAGTCTAGTGCAGAAAGTGATGTGTTATGAAGTGTTGCTAGCCAGCGCTGCAGACACACGCAGGCAGTCAGTCAGGTGTGGCGGCGGTAATGAATTTTGGAATACTTAATTTTTAAGCGCCAGTTGCAATGCGAAAAAAAAATAAGTGAAAAATATCAATACATATGTATATGCATATTTTTAACAAAAAAAAAAGTTTTTATAAAAAAATAATAGTAATAAATAAAAAATATAAAAAGCATGTAGAAAAAAATATATGCAAAAATATTGTGAGAGAGTATATAACAAATTCAAAAAATAAATATTTTTCGTTGGCTTTCAGTTCTTTTATTCTTAAATGAAACTTTAGAAAATTCCCAGCTCTTTGATTTTCACATGCGAAGCTCACAGACACTTGGAAAGCTGGCCAGCATAACAAATTTGACAAAAATTATTAACAATATTTCACTATGAGTGTATAAATTAGACTTTTACATGGTTTTGTTATTAATTACAGATGTAGTCATAAAGTAATTTAATATTTATTCGAGTTTTATCAAATTCAGCTTTTACAGAATTTTTGGCTTCAAACACATTGTTGGTGTTTTTGTTTAGATTAATTTTTTCAGATTACTTTTTTGATTTTTTTTCGGTAACTTGCTTTTAATAACTCTAGGCAATTAAAAATCGATTCTATTTAACGAAATTACTTAATTTACTATTAGAAATATTTAGTTATAAAACAAGCAACAATCGTTCTATCGATGTTAATCGTAAATTAAACATTTATTCTATTTAAAATTACATTAAGCTCATAATCTAAGCTAAGTGAACACGGTATTAGAAAGCAAAAACAAGAAAATTTTATTTAAAAATGTAATTAGTCCGACATCATTCATATGTTCATTCATTTGTATATATACTTAAATATACATAAGATAATATTCTAACGCCGCATAGGAAGCGATAGGGATAAAAAAGTTAGTGGGTTCAAAAATATACTCGTACAACTTAAGTTAGGTTTCCTCGTCTTCGCCACTGATACTTTTTAGAGGGAGCTCTTAATTTTCTACAAATTACAATATTTTTTTAAGGGAAACCAAGCTCTCTTTTACCGCTTGTTTTTAGAAGATTTTATTTACTTAACATTGTCGGTTTTAAAAGCAAGTTTTTCAACAGCATTTTAATATTACTTATCTCTTGATCAATAAACTTCCTTGTTCAAACACTCCTTCTATTTTTCTACAACGAATTGAAGCTTTTCTAATGAGTAGATTTTGTTGTAGATTTATTGAAATATTTGTTGGAGTTCATTCGAACCATTTTCATACCTTGATAGGGTTTCCTCAGTATATGTATGTATGTAAATATAAGAAGCCTACACTTAATACTTTTTATTGAAGATATTCACAACATATTATTTAACTTTCTCTACGCCTATGAATTTTATATAGCCGACTTGGAATTGTGTGTTTTAAATCTCCAAAGCGATCTAAGCATTCCCATTGGAATGTTAGAAAAATATTTGCACTTATCATATTTGAGTTGTCATAACACTTCCAACACATAGTACACTCTTTTGCAAATGGTTTAAGACAAAAAGTAATCGTAATTAAACATTTTGAAGTTTTATTTCTCACAAACTTCGTCCTCTATGACTACCCATATTAATTTTATTTTATCGAAAGTTATCTCGGTTTAGGGTTTAATATGAAGAAATGCCTTTAAGTTTCCTGACCTTTATACATTTGACCTGTTTACTACCACCGCTTTGATCGAATCTGGATAACCACTACAACGACAACTCCTATCCGTTTCCACTTCGAGCACATTTAAATTTGAGACCATGTGCTCGATTATTTTTAATTAGCAGATTTGGTGCATTAGAATGATTTTCATTTAAATATGAAACTACAGTTTGAAGCCTGTAGGCTATTCTAATTAATTTGTAAATTTTGTTTTCATTTCAACTATTTATTGAGATGAGAAAGCTATTTTTCAGTGTCATAAACTTCCATCATTATAAAATGGAGCATTAATCTCCTAGTTTTATTTGTTTGCGAAAGCTTTAAAACGACAGAGAAATCTTCAAAATGCGTAAATTTTTTATGAGAAAATTCCTCAACTGAATTAACTTGAGCTATTCAATAAACAAAGGCGTTATCTGTTTCGAAATGGCTTTATCTACAAGTAATCTTTCCAAAATTCGGCATTTGATAATATATATAATAATTTTGTATATATTATAATATCAAGGTAATTTTCTTAAGAATTTCGTATCAAAAACAAAATTTCTATAGAGTACCCGGTAGTTCCCTAGTTTCCGAGTTATCCATCTGAAATTTTACACACATCCTTTTCTTCACAAGGAGTTGCTCATTTATCGGATTCACCGACATCAAATCACTATAGCATATAGCTGCCATACAAACTAAAAGTTCAAAATCAAGTCCTTTTATGAGAAACTTTTTTGTGTGACAAGATATCTTCACGAAATTTGGCATAAATTTATGTCCAAGGTAACGTTACAATCTCCGAACAAATTGTTGAAATTGGACTATAGCACGTAGCTGCCATATATAATAAAATGAACGATCAAAATTAAGTTCTTGTAAGAAAACTTGAACCTGTGATGGGTTTTATAGCTTCGGTGTTATCGAAATAAATGTGTAACGAATAAAAGTTTTTTTTTTCACAGTACCAACAAAATTTGACGTTAGAACTTCCGATTTTTAAAGAAACCTTGAACTAATGATAATAAATGCCCAATTGAGAGCCAATCAGTATTTTGCATTACGAAGCATATAAAATAATGGAAAAAAAAAAATAAACAAAAAAGTGTTTTAAGGTCAAATAAAATATTTTTGATTTAATTAAATGGTCTTTTGAGACAGTAAAAGAAGAGAAGGCGTCAGCTGACGATCGTTATACAAGTATTTATAATTATTTTGAGGTATTCCTTTTTATCGACAATTTTCATAACATTTAGAATCGTTTAGAATGTTTTACAAAGTTTAACAACAAAAAACTCAATTAAGAAAAGTTTGTTTACAAAACTACACTTAGTCAGTTTTGAGTAAAAATTCAAAATCTTCGCTTTAACTTAATTTATTAGCAATAGTTTTAGAAGAAACGTCGCCTAATTAAATGCAGATTAAATAAAATCCCGGCGTTGGTTCAGAAGAATTGTGCGCAACTCTTTATCAACTCTGCTCACTAACAGCATTATAACCACGTTTTTCTAGCATTTTATTTGTATATTCATATAATATAATACTAAATATTAACAAATAATTTATCATTTGCTGTACTCACTTATCACATCATGTCCATGGCAATCCAATTCCAGGTGATGATTCATCACCAGCGACGGTTGTAATCCACTTTGTGTGTGATTGTGCAAACTTGGTAGCTGGTGAGCCAAATGGCCACCAATCTCTGCCATTACCATATATTAAGCTTAAAGCGGGCGTCTTGCTGATAGATAATGAATGAATTTATGGATTAAGAATGCAGTTTTAAAGCACACACACACACACACACACTCAAACACTATGACAACATTGAATAGCAGCGCGACACTAAATCACCGTTATCTATTAATATTATAATTATTATTGTTGTTGCGTTTGTTGTATTATGTTGGCAAGGGCACAACGTAGAATGTAACTAAAGCGAATGTTGAGCACAAAATTAATATTGGAATTTGGCATTAATTGTGGTTTGACGGCGCAGGTGAAACGAAGAGGAAATTGAAATAATTTAAGCGACGGAGGACGCGACGCAGTAAATATATAGTGATTTTGAAGCGTTTGGAAATTTGTTGTTTTATTTTGGTATACAACTTATTTAATATTATTATTATGTTTTTTTTTTTATTTGAAGCTAAGTGTTTTTGTTTTTATATATTTTCAGAAGACAGCAGCTAATTTTGCATTAATTTTTATTTTTTTTGAATATTTAAAATATTTTATTTTTGTATATTCTTTAAATATTTGATCTTTAGCTAGCTGTTTGGATACTTGTTTTTAATTTATGTATTATTTTTTTCTGCTGTCCGATTTAATTATTTTTCGTGCAAATCAAAATACCGACAGGCGAAGCGGTGAGTCTCCGTTTGAGCAAATTGTTAAATTAATATTGAAGTTTTTTTTAACTTATTTTTTATATATTTTTAAATTTTATATTTTAATTTTATTTTTTGATTTTCATGTATTTTTTTATTATATTTCTATTTCTTAAATTTTGTTTTTTAATATTTGTTATTATTTTTAAAATTTTGGTTTTATTTTTTTATTTTGTTTGCTATTTTAAGGCACTTCCAAACGGCGCTTTGGCATAGTTTTCACTTATTTGATTGTTTTGCAAATCCTTAAGGGCCTGATTTTATTTAAATTTTGTTGTAGTACATTTATTCACATTATAAAATATTCTTTCTTTATTCTTTAATATTTTTTAAGTTTTCAAAAATTCAATTTAGACAAAATCACAAAGAATTTTATATTTGTTTTCAAGGTTCGGATATTTATCTCTCTGCTTTTGTTGTTGTTCAAAGCGACGGTGCATTTTTAATACGCGCACAATATGCACAACAACAACTTGCCTGCTTTAAGACACCTCACACAGCAGGAGAATTTCTGTGCCGAATTTCAAGTCAGCTCCTACTTTTTTCTTAGTTTTGGGTTTCTGAATTTCATTACATAACTCAAAATTCAAAACAAATTACAATACTTCCACTTCGTTAATATGTTTCTTCAGTTCCGCTGCCGTTGTCCGTAATGCACTACAGCTAACGGCATTACGTTCCCGCGTACACACTCGCATACGCACACTATAAATATGCTTTCTAATTTGTGTTCCAATAAATGCACATTTGTCAAACGCACTCGTTTCCGTACATATTTTATTCACCAAAAAATCCGCACCGAACGTTGGGATCAGAGACAATAACGACGGCAAACGATTGCACGAGGACGCACCAACACCACGGAGTTGGGCAACACAACGTTCTGCGTGGTAAATAATATGCTTATGACAAAGTCTCACGAGCGACTAAACCGGTATCGCAGTCAAGTCCGCACGCCAACCGTCAGCCACCCGACAGCGCTGCACAAAAAGGCCAAAGCAACAGCAGCGGCAGCAGCCACAGCAGTGAGGCGTGTATGTGTGATTGTTGGCTGGCCGCAAAAAACACGTGTGCGCATGTGTGTGTGTCTGTGGCGTGCCCACCCCTTTTCGAACATCATGCCGCACTCTGCCAACGCCTGCAAGCGCCTAAGCAGTTGGCGTATGTGTTAGAGCGACGACACTCTAGTGAGACTGCCTTGCAGCAATTGTTGCTGTTGTTGTTATTTATTTTATATATGATAGCCAGCTGTCCAAGTGGTGCAACCGGTTTCGAACTCGAACCGCAGTCTGAAACACTAAGGGCACTTTTGTTTAGCGCTTTTGCTGTTGTTGTTGTTGTTCTTTTATGCCTTGTGCTGCCTTTTATTTGCTCATTATTCCGCTCACTTTGCCCACACACGTACACACACATTCGCTTTTCTCAACTTCGAAAAACAGGTGTTCGTTGAAATCCGCCTGTTTTCGCAGTCCACTCGTCTCTCTCGCACTTTCGCCGAAACACGCGACGTGCGCTTTGTTGTTGGCCGCCGCCAACCACTCACGACGCTGCCTGCTGCTTCCTTTGCTTTTGCTATTTCTTTTGCTGGCGCTGCCTAGAATTTTTTCAGCTTCTTCATTTTTTCTTTAGAAGGCAGCCGTGTGCGACTTTTCATGTCCGTCCACTCGGTCGTGTTGTTGTGTGCGTGTTTTATTTTTGTAAATGGCGTCCAAGCGGGCCAATCGGGTGAGGTTAGTGCGCCTGCGTTTGGCTGCCCATTGACGAGTCCGGGGGCATTGTGCATGCAAGTCGGTCGAGCGTGCAGAACGTTGCCTTGTTGTTGTTGTAGTTGTGGTAGCTCGAAATGCAACCGTTTGCTTGGCACGAACAGTGGCTCCAACTGGTTTATGCTGCCCCACCTCTGTGCTTGAAATTGTTGTTATGTATGTATGTGTGTATGTAAATATGATTATCGATGTACATACATATATATGTGTGTGCGTGAATTTATAGCTGTATACGAATTTATTGCCGCTAGACGAAGGTGCTGCACAGTGTTTCAAATAAATAAATAATTTTTATCAAAGCCTTTAAAAATAGATTGTTGGCTTTGAATATACTCATAAATTTAATATATAAATACTGTTACTTTATTTTGATTACATTTGGTATGTATGTATGTATGTACATACATATTCATGTGTGAATATACTTATACTAAAATTTAAGGTTTCTCGATTACCGCGTGGACGCTGTAAATTTTTTTTTGAGGAATTATTTTCTCGATTTTGTAGAGCAGTTCTCATCTTCGTCTAATTTCGTAAAATTTTTAATATATCATAAAATCTAAAATTTGAAGAAAATAAATATTTTTGACTCATTGTAGTAATATATTGTGATGATCGAAAGTCAACGACAGTAGGAGCTGCAACTTTTTTTTATCGTAACATATTTCTCTAGCTCAAGTATGAGAGAAGATTAGAGGTCATCTTTAAATATACACACATCTACACATATATAGATATATAGATCTTATTAGCCTACATAGAGAATATATATTATACATAAAATCTACAAATGTGTTGCCAACTGGAAAATGGAGGGTCTTATCAGTTGGGAGTCAAGTCTGTAAACTTGAAATATTTTATGGAGAGTTTTCTTAGGTTCTACCAAGAAGATATGAAGATATACATATAAAGACAGTGTGTAAAATAAATAAATTTTTAATGCATATTCCTTGCAAGACATCGAAATTAAATCTTATGGAATAAATCTTCAACACCCCTTAAATAATATTAAATTCTTTCGTCGTAAAAAATATATATTTTGGGTTTCTAAGTTCCAAAATCAATATTATTAACTAAAATTAAGAATAATTTTTTTAAATCCAGCTTGAATATTCATAAAATTAATTTAACATAGTTTTTTGTAAGCGGTTATAAAAGGAGTGTTGAACTAAATTTAAATATCCCTTAAGGTTCGGAAAATATGGTATGATTGCAACATGAATATCTAAGGATGTTACTCTCTTATTTGAGTTTGAAACCCAAAACAAAAATTAAGCTTTCTGATAATATTTTTGTAAATAGCCATACAGTGCACTAATGACGCCATTACTTAACGCTCAGTGTTGCTCGCAGCTAAAATCTTCTAAAGATTATTTGGAAACCGAATGCATCCGTACCTGTGCACATACATTTATATAAGCTTTTACAATTTTTTTCCTTATTCTGTTTATTTTTATACCTTGGACAGGAATTTAAGGATATTAAGTTTGCCACGAAGTTTGTAACAGCGAGAAGAAACATCGGAGACCCTATAAAATATGTATATAAATAATAAACCTGACGAGCTAAATGAATTTAGCCATGTGCGTCTGTCTGTCTGTATATACGCGAACTAGTTTCTCAGTTTTTGAGATATCGAACGAAATTTTGCACACTTTCTTTTCTCCCCAAAAAGCTGCTCATTTGTCGGAACAGCCAATATCGGACTACTATAGCATATATGCAGGTGCCATACAAACTGAAAGATTAAAATCAAGTTCTTGTATGGCAAATTAGTTATTCGGTAGCTTCGGTGCAACCGAAGTTAACGTTTTTTCTCGTTGTTGTTGTTTATGTTTTTGATTAAAACTTACACTCAATAGTTTTGGGAGAGCTGTTAAGCAGACAGTCTTGGACAATTTGCTACCAATTATTGTGGGCACAATTTTGGCTTTCTCTTGAACTATCTTCGTGATTTCTATTATCTTTAGCTCTTAAAGCCTTCAGAGCTTTTCAACACACAACTGAAGCGACCGCTCTATGACAAAGTTGTTGAAATCATATCTAAGTTTATTAAATATTTTTCTATGAAAATTTTAGCTTTATTGAAGCGAAGGCGAAAAGCATGAAAAAATTTAAATTTCCTGAAAGTTATGTTCGGTATTTTCAATGATTATTTGATAAGTAGTTAATTTAAATTTTAATAAATATGTTTAAAAAATTAGTAAATTTTACATTTTATGTGTAAAATTTACAGATTATCACTATGATTTTAGCAGACGGAAGCGCATTGCAACTCTATAGGCAATAACAAGCTGTAAAGGTATCCTTGATTACCAGTTTACGTAGTTTCAAGCTTTCCGAAAAATATTATATTTAGCGAAGTTATTTTTCAAGATGCCATTAACAATGGTGCCTTAAGTCGCTAATTTTTTAATCGGGATGATTAATCTCGAAAAAATGGTTGAGTTTGTTTTGCTGACTTGAAGGCATTTCTTTACTCTAGCGCATATTATTTTACAACGAGAGGGAAATTAACATGAAAGTAGAGCAGTTGACGATAATGAGCTTAATAATTGGGATTCTTTTAAGCAGATCCACGCCCAGTGGTGCAATGTGATTATACAACTCAGTATTTTTTAAGAAATTAGACAAAAATTACCAAATTGTTGTAAAAATTAAGTCGATATCAATAGCTTTTGGCTTTCAATAATAGACAATAATATTTTTTAAATTGTTATTTTATTTTTCATAGCGTTTAATTACTTTTTGATTTCACCAGCGTTATGGCAATATCTTTATTACACTTGTTGCATTTTTTTAATGAATATTGCGCCAAATTTCCACATCACCACACCACTGTGCGTCGCCATTGTGCGCTACAAAACCGAAACAAAAATCCTCTATCATTTAAGTTTGCCGCTTCGTGGCGTTAATTGCGCGTGTTGGCTGGCCGAGTCACAGTCGCGGGCATAATCTTCTGCGAACACATACACATATACACATATATGTACGTACATGTATATGGTATGTTGCATGGATCAGCATGCAACACAACTTGAGCCGCATTGCGCAATTGGTATCCTGCTTTAAGTTGCGCTGCTTTAAAATTACTTTCTACATATATTTATAAGCAGATTTTGCATTGCTGCAACATACTTATACATACATATGCAGTTACATAGAATATTTAGTGTGTTGACGCTGCAAGAATTGTTAGTGGATTTAGAGCAGCAGCTGCTGCTGATATGAGTGCTTTTCGTTTGCTGCTGTTGTTGTATTTTTTCCAGTTGCCAGCTTCTGTTGCTGCCACCAAGTTCTAATTTATATTTTTGTTCTTCTTGCTGTAAGGCGCTTGTTGTTGTTGCTGCATCCACGGTAGTCGCCGTGTGTTGCCAAGTACAATCAAAATGGTGTTTGTACTCTTCGTCAATTTGTTGCAACGCTTTATTGTGTCGCTTTGTGGCTGTTGTTATTGTTTTTGTTGCATCCAAAAACTCCTTTGTTTGCATGCTTCACCTTAGCTACTGTTTCGTAGCGCTTGCAGCAGCTTGCTGTTGCCATTCTTCGTACAAAATGGTTGCGCTTGCTGAATTTATGTGCGTATGTATGTGTGCATGTATACATATTTATACTTGTTATGTACACACCCTTCGTTTGCAATGTCTACACTTGCGCTCATAAAATTCCTTATGGGCTTTGGTGGCTGTGGAGAGTTCTTTTCGCGTTTAAAGCTTGTGTGTGTGTGTATATAGTTATGTATGTATTTGTATATATTAATATATACATATGTATATTTATATATAGGTATATATCAAAAAAGTGTATGCTTTAGCGGTGTGAATGCTGTAAAGAAATGCTTTGGGTGTTAACAATTTTCCGCACCAGCGAACAATTTAAAAAACAATGCAAACTTTTATTCATAAATACACTAGAAAACAAAATAAAACATGCTGAAAATAAAACTTAAGATTTCTTTCTATGTACTTACTATTCTTTGTCAATGGATTGTAGACAATATATCATAATTTATTATGGTTTTGTTATATCTTGTCAAATATTGTTTTTGATCGATCACATTGTAGGGAAGCCACATGATATAATGGTCCGATCTGATCTGTTTTCTGTACAAGGACTTGATTTTGATCGGTCAGTTTGTATAGAAACTATATGCGATAGTGGTCGGATATCGGCGTTACCGACAAATGAGCAGCTTCTTGGAGAGAAAACGACGTGTGCAAAGTGTCAG